GTGGAAATTGAGCCATCTCGGGCACCACCTATTACCCATCTCAATGAATTGGAGCAGCCCAGGCACCAAGTGGAACATGGATGAGGAAAATGGATCTAAGATGCTTCAGGTTAGGAACATGCAAGGCTCCTCCCCCCTGGGCCTGGCGTACTGACCTCACAGGGAAGAAGGTTTGAGGGCCACATGAGTCACCTGTCCTCCCCTTGGTTTTAGGGGCCTCTCTTCCACAGAAAACAAGGAGTCCTTTCTCCGCTCTCCCAAAAAGCCCGTAGCTACCCAGGGTGCCCCAAACTCAAATGGAGAAGTTACATCTTGATTTAGTGGTGCAAGTCAAGAGGCCTAAATCCCTCACTCATTTTTTGGCATTCTACGTTCTAAAATGGATTTTTAATCCCCAGGCATCAAATATGGCAAGACTGTACCACTTGAATGACATGGTAACAGACACGAATGACTTGCAATCAAATGGGGAAATGCTCCAGGAAACAAAATCACGCCCTACTCAACCAGCACAGCAGTGCTTCCTCTGGTCCAAAGCTCTCACGGGAAAGAGGAGCGCCCCTAGTGGGAAGAAGCAGGGCGAAGTTTGGCCCAGCAGCTCCTTGTAGTTCCCTCTTGTTCAAATTTAAAACAGAGCACATTCTGACACCAAGGCAAAAACTGAAAACAAGTGAAAAAGCTGCTGCCCTCGTGTTCTTAACTCATATAACAAAGGCCCAGGTGGCTGTGGACAGAGACCTGTCCATGGCACGTGAATGCTGGGTGGGAGGCAACTGCACACTCCCTTCCGGCCTGTTACCAGCATACATGCCTTTTCCTCCTCCCATCACAACTCAAACATTCCCTCAGGCCAACAATGAGGGGGCGAGGACTTCAGCAGAGGCCCAGTGTGCTTCCCCATAAGGGGACCTTTCAACACCCACCCTCAAGCACCGCCTGGGGATGAGGTCAGACTCTATTCTATAGGCCATGAAACAAGCTGACTTTGTGATCAGCTGGCCGGCCTCCTGTGAGGCCCTAACGATGGAAAAGGATTGGTTTCGCCCACAGGGACCTCATTCCCTATGCAGGAAGCCTAGCCAAACCATTTTTAAATAAGTACATTCAGGGACAGGCAAAGAAACATTTATAAGAGCCTCTATGAAGCTCCCATTTATAAGAACCCCTTCTCTCTCTCCTCCCTTCCTCCCTCTGCTCTGACCCCAAATCACACCACACACACAGTCACACACACAGTCACATACACAGTCACACACACACACACACACACACACACACACACACACACACACACCACTGCTGGGTCCATTGCCCTAAGTATCTCGGTCTGTTTCTCTGGTGACAGCCTCCTCCTCTATCATGACTCTACAATGGCTACCCATTTAACATCAGACCATGGTCAAATGACACACCTGAGCACTGAAATTCCTGAAAGACTTGGTCATTTTACCTACTCATGTCTACTCTGTCCTTCTACACATGTCTGTTCTTGTTGTTTTCTCTTCTCTCTACCTGTACAGTTCAGTCACTAAGAACACATTCTGCCTGGGTTCAAATCCCAACTCTACCAACCAGAACTGGAGACCTTGAGTTAGGTACTTACATGACTCAATGCCTCAGTTTCCTCATCTGGTGAGTAGAACAGTGACAAATGAGATGACACAGGTAAAAGTTCAAAATAAAACCGGGCACATGGTATCACCCAATAAATACTAGCAATTAACACACTCATTATCACACAAGTCACTTCCTCCATGAAGCCTTCCCTAGCAACACGACTAAATATCTTCTGTTTCTTAAATGTTCTACAAACATCAGAAATCATAGATACTGGCAAGTGTGTTTCCGGACTATTTCACAGGGCAGGTTAGTCGGATGGTAATTCAAATGTTAAAATTATTATTATGAAAATCACATCCTAAAATATGTACCTGTAGCCCAACTGGCATGGCTCAGTGGTTGAGCATCTACTTATGAACGAGGAGGTCACGGTTCGATACCCAGTCACAGGACACACGCCCAGGCTGTGGTCTCGATCCCCAGTGTGGGGCGTGCAAGAGGCAGCCAATCAATGATTCTCTCTCATCACTGATGTTTCTATCTCTCTCTCCCCCTCCCTTCCTCTCTGAAATTAATAAAATAAATACATACATACATACATATATACATACATGTGGCTCCAAAGTGATCGCTACCTCCAGTAACAACGTTTCTGATGGGTTTGCCACTAAGAGATATCATATATTTTATATGGTTTCAGATTTTGTTTCTTGGATCCAAAGTTTAATTCTACAGAGATTGAATACTATTTTATGTTTTTAATATGTTTTTATTGACTTTTAGAGAGAGAGGAAGATGGGGGAGAGAGAGAAACATAGATCGGTTACCTCCTAAATGCACTCTGATCAGGGATCGAGCCCACAACCTGGGCATGTGCCCTGACCAGCAATTGAGCCGGTGACATTTCAGTGCATAGGACGATGCTCACCAACTGAGCCACACCAGCCAGGGCTGAAAACTTCTTAAGAGCAAAGAGCAGAGATCGTACCCATAGACATCTGGTCCACACTGAGAGTTCCTATCAAAATACCACAGTGAGTCCTCAGGTCAATCCTTGTTGAATTTAAATAGAACATTAAGTTACCTAAAAATCAAAGGTAGTATGTGGAAGGTTAAGTGGACCTTCAGAATAAGAATTAAAATCTACCCTGTAAGCCCTGGCCGGGAGGCTCAGTAGGTTGAAGCACTGTCCTGTACACCAAAAGGTTTCAGGTTCGATTCTCAGTCGGCATACATACAGGAGGCAATCAATCAATGTTTCTCTCGCATCTCTCTCCGCCCCTTCCTCTCTCTCTAAAATCAATAAACATACGCTCAGATTAGTATAAAAATAAAATCTACCCTGTCGGTATTCCTCCTCTTAAACTTCTTGTCACAAACATAGAAGATTAAACCATGGTAAGAGGAAGACAATCCAAGACAAACACCATCAAGATAGAGTGAAACCTGTGCAAACTAATAAGGCAGCCTTAGTTCTTGGTCTCAGTGACCCCAAACTTCCATAGAACTTCGTGCCTCCTCTCCTATGGTCCTTATGCATTTCCACCTTGTTTTATGCCTCAGAAGATTATGCCTTGTCTTCTGAATTATCAGCTTCGTTTCTCACAAGTTCGAATGCCCCACTGCGCCCACTGCGGTGCCTTACTGAGTAGTGAGAGTCCACTGTGTGAAGCAATCAGAGGGGAATCTTAATCTCACAAGTTTGGATAGTAGTTCTGGTATATTCCAGATCATACAACCACAATTATAAAAGCATTACCTAACAGAAAGCTTCAAAGCGCCTACTTTAACGAACGGATAAGAAAATATCAAGTGAGTTTTTTAAAAACGGTGTTTTGATGCACTTGAGTGTATTTAAAATAGTCTGTAGCCGAAACCGGTTTGGCTCAGTGGATAGAGCATCGGCTTGTGGACTGAAAGGTCCCAGGTTCGATTCCGGTCAAGGGCATGTACCTGGGTTGCAGGCACATCCCCAGGAGATGTGCAGGAGGCAGCTGATCGATGTTTCTCTCTCATCGATGTTTCTAACTCTCTATCTCTCTCCCTTCCTGTCTTTAAAAAATCAATAAAATACATTAAAAAAAATAATCAGTAGTTGCAGCATAAGGTTGGGGAGAAGGACCACTTCCTTGGAGTGCTCCTGGGGATGCCATCTCCATTAGGGGAGGCGTTCCAACAGCACAGAGCACTTAGCTGTAAGGGCAAAGGGGCCTTGCAAAGCTCACTTTCCTCTCCTTTTCCCTAAGAAGGGAGCTGCCCCAAGGAGCATTAACTGTTCCTCTTCCCAGCAAATGGTGCCCCTGCAGACGAAGCCTGCCCTGGCCCAGTGGACTCCCCAAGTGAGTAAGTCTGACTCATTTTGCAGATCAGTAGTAGGATGCCCACTTCCTTGCAGATACAAGCCACATTGTCTCACATCAGGTCTGTGAGGGGGAAAGGTGATGTTTGGCATGTACCTGCTGACACTGTAATCTTTTTGTCGATTTGTTCAGAACCTGGGAGGGGAAAGATGGTGTTGTGTGTGTGTGTGTATGTGTGTGTGTGTTTAAATATGTTTTTATTGATTTCAGAGAAGAAAGGAGAGGGAGAGAGAGATAGAAATATCAATGAGGAGAAAAGCATCGATCGGCTGCCGCCTGCATGTCCCCTACTGAGGATCAAGCCCGCAACCCAGGCTTGTGCTCTGACCAGGAATCCAAACCGTGATCTCTTGGTTCATAGGTCGATGCTCAACCACTGAGCCACACCGGCTGGGCAAGATTGTGTTATTTATTGGACTCCCTCAAAAACCACAACACATCCCTGCCCCCATCATCTGGCTGATTAATAGCCTACTATGGGGAAATTCCAGAAAAAAAGTCCTATATGTGTCTCTGTCAGCATCACATGCCAGGCCTACCTCTACATACATTGCTCGAGAAATGGCTGGAACTGCATCCTCACCTCTGGAGACACCCACACTACAAGTAACATATCCAGAAAAGTAAAAATCGCCCTATAGCTGCCTCATTACCTGTGGAATGATCACAGGCTTTATCATACTTCCCCTTCAGGCCAAATTAAATGTTTTATAACAGCTACTTCCTGAGATACTGGCAGCCATCCTTAGAACAAGAAAAAAACTGTACATCTAATCAGAAACGCTATAAACAAGGCTAAGACAAAATATGCAATCCTCTCCATGAATAGCATCAGTCTGCCTCCACACTACAACTTAAGATCAGGAAAGCATTAAAGTGGCTTCCCTGAAGGTTTGGAGAGAGTGAGTGTACCCAAAACCACACTGGGGTGGGTGGGCCTGGGTGGGTGGGCCCATCCGCTAAAGTGGATATTTCCCACACACCCTCATCGGCCATCAGAAATGAGGAGAGCTGAAACAGGGCAGACTTACGTGCTTTTTCATCTCATTAGCCACAGTCTGTGACATCATGATGCAGCAGAGCACGGCGACGAGAATGAAGTAGAGGGCATACATGAAGCGGGTACTCCGGGACTGTCGGATCTTGGGGCAACAGCCACAGCAGAGGGAGCAGCCAGCAGTCCCACAGCAGCAGGCCAACTGAAAAAGAAACACAGAACATCCTCTTAAAGCCACTGCTTTATAAACCTGCTAACCCCAGCCCTCTGTGGGTCAACCTTTCAGCTACCATTTTTCTGAGCCATCCTGCCCATAGAGCATGCTGGAACAGTTTAGTATGTGAACAAAGCTTTCAGCAGAATGGGTTTAAGGTTGTCTTTAATGATAAGCATTAAGGCTTGGGAGATGCCCAATAATTAAACAGAAAAAGCACTATAATCATTACTCTTAGGCAAAATAAAGATTTCTGGGGTCGGCTAAAAGCAAGAGGCCAAGAACTAGAAAAAGGCCAAAGTGAGGTGAGGAGAACATGAAAAACAGGGAATCGGGCTCAAGAAAAGGACTGTCAAAATCCATGAGCAAAAGAACGAATTGTATGAACACCCAGGCACATGCTGGGATGTAAAGGCTATGTATGCGCGCACCCGTCCTCCTCTGCAGGAAATAACGGGAGTGTCCAACTTGAAGCTCACAGGGAATAGATGCCTCTCACCCACACAGTGTTTTCCGCAGCTTCACGCCCCTCATGTAAGCTGTCAGGCTAATGTGCGGGGCATGGGCTCAGAGGAGCAGAGAGCTCCTCTGTACCATTAACAGCACACACACCTTTTATTTGGGGAGACCAGCTCTTTTTTTTTTTAATCTCTGATTGGGCTTTACTGGCAGCTATACATTTGGGGACACTAAATAAAATTTGGATTAAGTTTCCAGGTTTGGGTCTGGTGCTAACTTTTTTTCTTTTCAAAGACTATTTTTTAGAATAGCTTTAGGTTAACAATAAAATTGAGAAGGCAGTACGGAGATTTCTCATATTGACTCTTACTCCCATGCATGCATAGCCTTCCCCATTTATTAATATTACTTATAAGAACGGTGCTTTGCTGCTGTTGTTAGCACAGATGAACCTACATTGATATATCACTATCACCCAAAGACCATGGTTCACTTTAGGATTCACTGAATAGTCAGTCAATGGGTTTGGACAGATGTAAAATCATACATCTCCATCATTATAATATCATACAGTGTATTTCCACTGCTCTAAAAGGAAACTAGATCTTTAGTAAAGCACAGGGCAATAGCCCTAGCTGGTTTGGCTCAGTGGATAGAGCATCAGCCTGTGGACTGAAGGGTCTAGGGCAGGGGTGGGCAACTCCTGGCACTCGTGCCAAACATGGCACGCCAGTAACTTTTGCTGGCACGCAAAACCCTCTCTTATAATCTTCCATTTAAATTTTTTTCTTAATATCGACTTCTTTATTTTTCAGATAATTCAGTGTAGGTGCATCTTAGATAAAGAAATAATTTTACATAGCATGTATACATTAAAAAATAAATATATTTTTCATCATCATATACTGTGTTTTTGTTGCTCGAATGGACTTTATTATTTCTTCAAGGTTCTTCACATACGTACACCTTAAGAGATATCAAGTAGGCGTAACGCTCTCAAAAAAAAAAATAGGGTTGGCACGCAGAAGAATTTTGAGTCAGAGATTTTGCTGGTTTTGGCACGCACTCACAAAAAGGTTGCCCACCCCAGTCTAGGGTTTGATTCCCACCAAGGGCATATGTCCAGGTTGTGCACTTGATTCCCTGTAGGGAGCGTGCAGGAAGCAGCCAATCAATGATTCCCTCTCATCATTGATGTTTCTATCTCTCTCTTCCTCTCCCTTCCTCTCTGAAATCAATAAAGATATATATATTTTTTAAAAAGCATAAGGAAATAGAGCGTAGTGTTGTTAAAAGCTCAAGCTCAGAGCCACCCTGCCTGAGTTGGGGCTTGGGTCTGCCACCCACTACTAATTCTGAACCATGAGCAAGTTACTAACCCCTTTTAAGACTCCTCATTTATAAAGTGGTAACAATATTTATGCTTATGCTGTGGTCTCCTGGACCTAATCAGACACACCTGGTGTCAGGGAGAGATTTCTACAAAAGAGATTATAAACTGCAAATAACAACTAAACCTATATACAATATAGTACAGTCTATATAAAACCTACAACCTAACAATTCAGTCTCTTGATAATGATTTGGAATGAAGTTCAAGACCTTGCACAGCTGCAAAACAAGCATCAATTAGAATGCCACACTATAAACATCACTTAAAATGAGAAGAGATCATAGGTAAGCAGGTATAAGACCGCCTGTAATCACAGGATGTTAAGCCAGATCTTGGGAATGTCGTTTCCCAAGTTATTTCATCTACGTAATGAATCCGCCATTGTTTGAGCCCTTGGACATTCTGCACTATATCATTATTTTAAAATTTTGCTAATGTACTCTGTCCACCTTCATTCAGTTTCCCAAGCCATCTTCCTCAAAAGACTCTTCTTGCTTCATAATGTTAGGTCACTGCTTTGTAAGATTATTCTACTTGGGCTGAGCTAACAGGCCACACAAGTGGGACCCCAAACCACTGCCTGTATGGTATTCTTACAGATGACCTTCCTTTACAATTCACTCCATCATGTCTTCTATCCCCGATTTTACTAACTTCTTTCCACTCACATGCCTTCCAAATTCTTTCTCAACTATCTCCTTCATTGGTTGCTACCTCTTTAGTTCTGTGGTCTTAGATAACCAGTCTTACTGTATGTCAAGTTCAAATGAGATTAATAAAATATTCTATTTTGGAAAACATACATTTTTAAACACTCTCCTGTTCCATGATAGAACTTTGTCACAGCAGAATCAACATTTAACCTTAATATCTCCACAGAAGAGAAAAATGAACAGACATGTACATAATATGTGAACCTAACTGGTCATTTAAAGACAAATAAACAGTGACAGAGAGATGTGATTACGGAAAATGTGAAAAGGAAGTCATACTGTTTTAATCTTATTCTATTACTAAAGTCAGGTGGCATATTATAGATCTGACTTTTCAAACTTCCATATTTTCACCTTCACTCTATATAATTCTATGATATGATTGACAGATAGACAGATATAT